AAACCGTACCAAAGGTGAAGCAGCTGGGAATTGAACAGCAGTCCAAAATCTGATGCCAGCATTATAGAAGACAGCTTAGTCCATTATACCACAACGCCAATCTTTAGTGACCAGTATGTGCATAACATTGCCATTTAATTATCACAACATGAAGAAATTGTTTTTAACATGAAGTGGTGTTCAATTTTGTCGAAAGACTTTTCTGCATCTATTGATACTATTATATGATTTTTGTTCTTTAGTTTTTGGATGTGGTATATTCTGACATCTAAAGCTCCATGACAAGCAGCTTTCCTACAATTAACCACTACAGACCAAGCTCCCGGTACAGTGCCTGTTACACATCTGCACCCAATTTTGTGGAATAAATACATGAATGGGTAGGCAAGTCTAGGAAAGAATTATTACTGTGACAGAGCATTCTACTCTTTAGGTTGAGACAAAATCTAATTAATTGTTTTAATCGTATCTTTTTCATAATTAAGGGATATTTAGTATCGCAAAGTGACTGCTGTTGGTTGGCTGAATTACATCGTCTCTCATACTTAGTCAAAGTGGACCTTGGTTAACGTAGGAAAAATATTAACCCATAAATATATTTCTTTTTGTTGAATTTATCAATCTTCTATGGAGATCTCATTTTGGTGATTTTTTTTTTTCTCCAAGATTTTGAATGTCTTGGAATATCCCATTTTAGGGCCTGGCATGGTGGGCCTAGCACCTAAAGTCCTTTCCTTGATTGTGCTGGAATCTTATATGGGCGCTGGTTCTAACCCTGGCAGGCCCATTTGCCATCCAGCTCCCTGCTTGTGGCCTGGGAAAGCAGTCGAGGACGGCCCAAAGCCTTGGGACCCAGTACCTGCATGGGAGACCTGGAAGAACTCCTGGCTTTGGATTGGTACAGCACTAGCTGTTGCGGTCACCCGAGGAGTGCATCATTGTATGGAAGATCTTCCTCTTTGTCTCTCCTCCTCTCTATATATCTGATTTTCCAATAAAAATAAACAAATCTTCAAAACAAAACAAAAAACACAAATATTTCGAAGAATGGGCCTGGTGTAGTAGCCTAGTGGGTCCTCACCTTGCACCTGCTGGGACACCACATGAGTGTCAATCCATGTCCTGGCTGCCCCACTTCCCATCCAGCTCCATGCTTGTGGCAGTCGAGAATGGTCCTGCACCTGCATGGGAGATGAGGGGATGCTCCTGGCTTCAGATTGGCTTAGCCTCGGCTCTTGCAGCCACTTGGGGACCGGATCAGCAGATAGAGAATCTTTCCCTCTGTGTCTCCTTCTCTCTGTAAATCTGGCTTTCCAATAAAAATAAATGAATCTTGTAAAAAATATTTTTCAAAGAAAACAAATGGGGATGTGGGACCCCAGAAATTGGGGAACTTCTGCTGGTCTAAGCCAACCTTCCCTCCCAGGGGCCTGCAGTGTTGGCACGATGCAATGGCACTGGAATCTTTTGTGTTTAAGGCAATGCAAACCCACACTCAGCAATAAAAGTCACTAAAGAATGGGAACAGAGGAATTTTCTAGCCTCCTAATGTCTGAATACCAGTCCCATCACCAATTATTAATAGTAGTGTACAGAACTGGACAAATGGAAACAAAAGATTTGTACACATCCTCCTTGAAAGAAAACACACAGTGGACTTTTCTCTATGTTTCACTGTGTCCTTCCCTTGGTTTTGTATTTAACATTTATTTTACGAGGCTATATCAGTCATGGATATGTTGATTTTCCCATTTTAATTTAACAGCATGTATCATATACTTACATTCTCAGGAGTTAGCAAACCGTGATAGGTTGTTTTGTGGTTTTATAATAGTTTCACAGCCACGTTCATTCAATTACACAGCATCTATGGCTGCTTCCATCCTGTAATAGTGGGCTTATGGAGTAAGTCCATATCGGGTACACAGACAGAAGCTCCACAGCTCACAACATCCAAGGTAGACCACTATGGAAAGTGTCTTCAAATTCCACCACTCTGATTTGGTCACCAAAGACAGAAACCTGTGAGTCCTAGAAACCTGTGCCCCTTCCTCCCACCAAGTTCTACTAGCTCTACCTCTTATCTGTTTCTCAATCTTGTCCCCTCTTTTTCACCTCTCTCATCTGCACATAACAATGATTTTGGCTGGGTTATCCTAATAGTCTTCTGATATTTGTGCATTTAATCATACTCCTCTTTCATCTATCCTCCATAACACAGTAAGAAGCAGAACATGAGTCTTTGAAGACTTGAAACTCAATTGCATTTAGTAAAAAGGAGGAGGCCCCACAGAGAAACATAAGCTGGAGTAGAAAATGTATTCGGGGGCCTGGTGCAGTAACCTAATGACTAAAGTCCTTGCCTTGACTGTGCCGGGAACTAATATGGGAGCTGGTTCTAATCCTGGCAGCCCTGCATCCCATCCAGCTGCCCTCTTGTGGCTTGGGAAAACAGTCAAGGATGGCCCAAAGCCTTGGGACCCTGTACCTGGGTAGGAGACCTTCTGGCTCCTGGCTTCAGATTGGCTCAGTTCCAGCTTTGGCCATTGCAGTCACTTGGGGAGTGAATCATTGGATGGAAGATCTTTCTCTGTCTCTCCTCTCTATCTTTCTCTGTCTCTCTCTCTATATATACATATATAGTCTGGCTTTGCAATAAAAATAAATAAATCTTAAAAGAAAAAAGAAAATGTATTCAGGTGAGTGTGGTACGGAATCTGTGCTGTGATACAACCCAGAGTGGCTGGAATGCTGTATTTGTCAGAATGCGGTGAGACAGTAATTGGGAAAAGTATAAAGCAACACAATCATAAAGATCTTTGCGAGTTATAAACTCATAATTCCACTTCCTGCTGATTCTCACATGCTAGGCTAACAAACAATTTCAGCCGCAGACAGTACTCAGAAGGGGAAAAATCAATAAATACTGAATTATGTTCATATTGACTGCATGTGTAAAATCTCCCCTACTGTATCACCTGATGAGTAGCTGTATGCTCAGAAACAAAATAACTTAAAAAAAAAAAAGATTTCAGGTCTGGTGCAGTAGCCTAGTGGTTAAAGTCCTCGTCTTACATGAGCCAGGATCCCATATGGGGGATGGTTCAATTCTTGGTAGCCGTGCTTCCCATCCAGCTCCCTGCTTGTGGTCTGGGAAAGCAGTTAAGGATGGCCCAAAGCCTTGGGTCCCTGCATCTGCATGGGAGACCTGGAATAGCCTTTGGGCTCCTGGCTTTGGATCAGTGCTTCTCTGGCCGTTGCGGCCACTTAGGGAGTGAACCATCAAATGGAAGGTCTTTCTCTCTTTCTTTCCTTCTATCTATATATCTGACTTTCCAATAAAAATAAACAAAAAAAAGTAAAGATTTTTTTAAAGATTTATTTATTCATAGGAAAGTCAGATATACCGAGAGGAGGAGAGATAGAGAGGAAGATCTTCCATCCGATGATTCACTCCCCAAGTGACTGCAACAGCTAGTGCTGTGCAGGTCCGAAGCCAGGAACCAGGAACCTCTTCCAGGTCTTCCATGTGGGTGCAGGGTCCCATAGCTTTGGGCCGTCCTCCACTGCTTTCCCAGGCCACAAGCAAGGAGCTGGATGGGAAGTGGAGCCACCAGGCTTAGAACCAGTTCAAGGCGAGGGCTTTAGCCACTAGGCCACACAACCTGGCCCAAAAAATAAAGATTTTTTGTGATCACTTTGGCAGCACATATACTAAAAATGCATTTTTAAAGATTTATTTTTTTATTATTTTTTCATTGGAAAGGCGGATATACAGAGAGGAGAGACAGAGAGGAAGATCTTCCGTCCGATGATTCACTCCCCAAGTGAGCGCAACGGGCCGATACTATGCCGATCCGAAGCCAGGAGCCTCTTCCGGGTCTCCCACGCGGGTGCAGGGTCCCAAAGCTTTGGGCCGTCCTCTGCTGCTTTCCCAGGCCACAGGCAGGGAGCTGGAAGGGAAGCGGGGCTGCCGGGATTAGAACCGGCGCCCATATGGGATCCCGGGCGTGCAAGGCGAGGACCTTTAACCACTTGCGCCACCGCGCCGGGCCCCTAAAAATGCATTTTAAGATTCTTTGAGCCAAAGACTTTAGTCTTGTTTCACTTTTAAAGTTCCAGTTCAAAAGCAAATATATTCTCTAATCTTTTCTGCCTGAACCTTTGTCCAATAATTGAGTGTTAAGTGTCTCTTGTGCGTCCTACTGACACTTTATATTACTCTCTTAGCTTTCCTTTTCACTAAGAAAGTGCAGTATCAACTTGGCCAAAAGTAATTTACTTTTCTGCAGAGTTGATTTGTGTGTGAATGTAGGTATGTTCAATTTGAGAGGCAGAATCAGAGCGCTCCCAGCCACCGGTTCACCCCTCTAACACACATGCAAAGCCAGAAGAGGGCTGGGTGAAAGTTGGGGACTCAGTCCAGGTCCCCCTTTGTGGGTGGCAGAACCCAATTACCAGAGCTATCAGGCTGCCTGTGCTCCCAGGGACCACGTAAGCAGGAAACTGGAGTCAAGAGATCAGAGCAGGGTCTCAAACCCAGGTATTCATAAGGAACTCGGGTTTACTAACTGCTATAGTAACCGCTAGGCCAAGTGTTAATCTTGATGTGAAAGTTCCATAAATGAGAATTTATCTTAATTCTAAAAATACTAAAGGAACCTAATTACTGAATTCACTTGTGTTCCTGAATTATGAAGAAGTCTAATGGTATAACAAAATAATATTGAGACGATGAAAGCCACCCTTTATTTCCGTAGCTTCAGACAGTTGTAATGACGAAGGAATCTGAGAGCTCTAAGGTGGCACCCAGAAAGCAGGATCAATGACCTAGACCTCCGTGCATTTAAGACAGTTTCAGCACAATACGTTGGAATCATAATCAACCAAAACATTTCAGCAGCAACATGTAAGTATTTCCAGCATTACACAGCAGAAGTTGATTCAGGTTACGAGAGTCAGGCGGGGTACACCGACTAGCTGGCAATGAGGTCACTCACCTGTCGAATTGACATAGTACAGAGAATATACAGGAATATGAAGGAGCAGTCTGTTGTGTCATCCCCCAGCAGGTTCCGATGGGAAAGTCCTTGAATGTAGGAAAGGGGAGTGAAAGGAAGTTTCGCTACAACTCTACCATCAAATCTAAAAAAACAACAAAAAAAAATTACTGTTATTTTTGACCAATTTCTTACTGCTAGAGAATAGTCTGAGAAAGAAACTTTAAATCTATCCATCTCTAAAAAATAAAGATTAACATGCTAAAAAGAGACATGTACCTAAAATACAGCCATATTTAAAGGCAGACCTAAATTATTCCTGCTAATCTTTGCCTCATTAGTAAGTTTCAATTCTTCGGATTTTTTTCTTTAAGGAAAAAAAAAAAAAAAAAGAAAGAAAACTAAAGAGAAGATTTATTTGAAAGGAAAAGTACAGAGAGAGAACAAGAGAGAAGGAGAGACAGGAGTCTTCCACCTGCTGGTTCACTCCCCAAGTGCCTACAACAGCCAGAGCTGGGCTGGACTGAACTCAGGTAGCAGGGGCTTCTTCTCGGTCTCCCGAGAGCATGCAGGGAACGAGGCATCTGGAACGTCATTGCTTTTCCAGGCACATTAGCAGGGAGCTGGATTGGATGTGGAATTGCTAGGACACATACCAGCATCTGTGTGAGATGCTGGCTTTACCCACTAAGCCATAGCGCCAGCCACAGGACCCCCTTTTATACTGACAAATTAATGAACACCCTAAAAAGAGTTTGCTTGTATAACTTATACCTATCCACTTTTCGTGTGCTAGAAATTAAACGGAAGGGGTCAGCACTATGGTGTAGCACGTTAAGCCACTGTCTGCTATGTCAGCATCCTGTATTGGTTACATTATCCAGTTAAAGTCCTAGCCATTTCATTTCTGATCCAGCTCCATGCCCATGTCCCGGGGAAAGCTACAGCAGATGGTCCAGGTATTTGGGCCCTGCCAATCACATGGGAAACCCAGATGGAGTTCCAGGCTTCTGGCTTTGTGCTAGACCAGACCTGGTTATTGAGGCATCAGCCAGCAGATGGAAGATGATCTTTTTCTCTCTCCGTTACTTTTCTGTCTCTCTCTCTCTCTCCCCCCTCCTCTCTGTAACTGCCTTTCAAATAAATGCTTTTTTAAAAAAGTAAATATGAACTGAGAAATGCCAAAAATATTTAACTCATTTAACAGTGGCAAGGAACTTATTACCCATTAACAAAAATGTTCCAAAAAATAATCTTGAAAATTGATTCCAAAGCTACAAAAAAATGTGATGAGAAGATACTATTTTATTTGTGCAATCTCTAACATTTACCTTTTTAAAACACTGCCTGTATTCCCAGAGCTGCCTCAGCCGAGACTGTTGCAGTATCACTTGTCATGAATGTTCTGAAAACTTCTCTGTTCATTCATGCCAGAATGAGGGCAGGGAGGTGGGGGTTGGAGCAGGTGGGGAAAGCAAGCAAAATCTCAGAATTCCTGGGAAAAGAGTTTCAACTTCAAAGATTTCCTGAACTGGCTGCACAGACCCCCAGGGATTACCAGACCTCATTTAAGAACCACTATTACAAATCCTAATACCAGTGGGATTGTAATAACTTTCTCTTTGAAGACCCCCAAGTCCCCACCATACACATCAGACAGGATATTTCTTAATTGACATCTATGGAATATATAGAACTGAATTAAAAGGTTACCTAAAGCATATATGCAATCTTCTCAAATAACTTACTTTCACCTTATAGCTTCTGGGGTTTGAAAATAATTCCTTTCACTTTTTCAAATATAGAAGAGCAAAATGTTTCAAAGAATGAAAACATAAAAGAATATGCCTACAGTGTTTATGTTAATATGAGCTCCATTTACAGCTCTAAGAATTTGTAGGGATAGGAGTGTGACAAAGCGGGATGCCACTTGGGACGCCTGTATTCCACATTCAAGTGCATGATCTGAGGCCTCTCTCCCCTGTTTGAGGCCTCTCTCCCCTGTTTGTGACACATTCTGGGAGGTGGCAGCTCATAGCTCAAACACTTGAGTCTCTGCCACCCACATGGAGGCCCACAGTGAGCTTCATGCTCCCTGGCTACTGCAGGCCTTCAGAGAGTGAGCCAGTGGATGAATACCTCTCTTCGTCTCTCTGCCTTTCATATAAAATTGAGAGAAATAAAATGTTCTATTTATTTGAAAGGTAGAGTTACAGGGAAAGAGACACAGAGAATCCTGTACTTGTGGGCTCACTCCCTACATGGCCACAAGAGCTGAACTGCGTCAGGTCTCTCATACGAGCACAGGCGTCCAAGCGCCTGGGCTATCTTCTGCTGCTGGCATGTCAGCAGGGAGTCGGACTGGTAGTGGAGCAACCAGGATGCTCACAGTTTCCTTTTCAGGATGCTGGCATTGCATGTGCCAACTTTACCCACTGTACCACAACGGTCATCCCTATGTGTCACTTCTCTGTGTGCAGAACATTCAAGATCTGCTCCTTTTTGAAATAAACAACAAAATATAGCTAACTATAGTCATCCTACTGTGCTAGATAACATTCAAGTTTATTCTTCTTACTCAACTGTGTTTCTCCATTCATGAACCAACCTCCTTCTCCTCTTCCAAGGTTCCAGAAGTTAAATTTTTTTTTATACCTCAACGAGATTAACATTTTTAATATTCACAAATGAGTGAGAACAAGTGTTGTGTATTTCTGCGCCTGGCTTATTTCATTTAACATAAAAGTCAAACTCAACTGCATTGCTGAAGCATATTTAATAAACTTTTAATCAAAATGCAAAAGATAGGGCTGGCATGGTCCTAGTAGCTGAAAGTCCTCGCCTTGTATTGCTGGGATCCCATATGGGTGCCATTCATGTCCCCCTTGCTCCACTTCCCATCCAGCTCCCTGCTTGTGGCCTGGGAAAGCATTTGAGGACAACCCAAAGCTTTTGGACCCTGTACCGTGTGGGAGACCCAGGAGAAGCTCCTGGCTCCTGATTGACTCAGCTCCAGCCGTTGCAGCCAGTTGTGGAGTAATCAGTGCACAGAAGATCTTGAAATAATCATTCCAGGTTAGACAGTACGGTAAACCCAGTACACATTGATAAGAGAAAAGCTTGAAGAATGGGTTGAAGTCAAAGCATACAATATTGTACAAACTAAAGAATCTGACTAAGGTCAGTTGGCAAGTTATACATGTGGACTTTAGAGTATGAGAAACCTAAGTTAAAAACCAGCTCAACATTTATTAGTTTTGAGACCTTGGGGCAAGTTAAGTAACTTGGAGTTCCATAGCCTCATCTGTAAAACAAACATTATAATTTTTATCTCAGAGGATTGTTCAAGAATAAAAGTCTAACATATGTAAAGAGTTTAGTACAATGTCCAATAAATGGTAACTATTCATTTAGTAGTATATGATGTTTTTTAAAAAAGATTTATTTTTATTGGAAAGGCAGATATACAGTGAGAATATATCTTCTAACTGTTGTTTCATCCCCCCCCTCGAGTGGCCGCTAATGACAGGAGCTAAGCTGATCTGAAGCCAGGAGCCTTCTCTGGGTCCACCACACGAGTACAGGGTCCCAAGACTTTGGGCCATCCTCTACAGCTTTTCCTGGCCAAAAGCAGAGAGCTGGATGGGAAGTAGAACAGCTGCAACACCCATACGGAATCTCAGCGCCTGCAAGGCAAAGACTTTAATCACTAGGCTACTGTGTCAGGTCCAGGATACGATGCTATTAGGAAATGAGTAACAGGTATTGGAGGATGGTTAACAATGTTGGAGAGGAGTTAGCTAATGCAGAGCGAGTGGTTGGGAAGTTATTCTAATGTCAGGGTAAGAGGCAGTAATAGCAGAAAACAAAGGCAATGAGTGCTGAAACCAGGACAGATACTCATGCTAGAACTGATGACAAAGTGGGGGAGGGAGAGAGATGGTATGGTCACAGAGGTATAGAGGAGTCGTTAACTGAGAGGAAGGGACAGCTGAATCGGCTAGCAATAATCAGTGTCTGACAGTGACTGTGGATAGGGTGGAGACGGAATAATGTCTGGTGAGAGGAAAGGAAAGCAAAGCGGGGGAAACAAGGTTACCAGTCCCAGTGACTAAATTCAGTGCCAGTGGAAGACACACAAGCACCAGGACTGACTGCAGCCTGTCAGGGCAGAGTGAGTTCAGCGAGATTCAGAACAATGTAACCAGGAAGGAACCTCTCCAGGGCTAAGAGGCTGCCCTGGCAGCTCAAGAAAAAGGCAAAACCCAGCTGGTGTAAGGGGTCACTGTTACGGATTTTTTTTTTCAAGGATCCCTATAATGGGTCATCTCCAAACAACATTAATCTCTCTATAGAAAGAGCACATTTTTAACTGGTAAATCACACTGGACAGAGATCTACTCTATTGTAGAGGCAGACATCATGAGAGCTCAGACTGGGCAGTTTCACCTCCCATGCATGGCTATCTGAGTTGAAGGAACATGATTGAAAATATAAATATTCATGCATGCTGATTAAAGAAAACTGAAAACTTCATGAAAGGCAAATGAGAATGGTTATTGATAAAGGCCCATACTGGGCCTGGTGCAATAGCCCAGTTAGCCGAAATCCTAACCTTGCAACCACGAGGATCCCATATGGGTGCCGGTTCATGATGAGGATGCTGCACTTCCCACCCAGCTCCCTGCTTGTAACCTGGGAGAGCAGTCAAGGATGGCCCAAAGCCTTGAGATCCTGTACCAGCAGGGCAGACCCAAAGAGGCTACTGGATCCTGGCTTCAAATCAGCTCATCTCCAGCCATTGTGACCACTTGGGGAGTGAAACAGTAGGAAGAAGATGTTTCTCTCTGTATCTCCTTCTCTCTGCAAATCTGCCTTTCCAATTAACATGAATAAATCATTTTTAAAAAAGAAAAAAAAGCAAGGTAGGAAGGAATGGACAGACTTAGAGAGGAAGTAACCGAGAGACAGAAAGTGGGTGAAGTGGAGTAAGAGACAGAGGGCAGGTGAGGTGGTGGAGTGTGTAAGCCACCACTGTGATATCCACTTCCATGAGCAGAATGCTTGGATTTGAGTCTTCACTACTCTGCTTCGCATCCAAGTTCCTGCTAATGCACCTAGGAGGCAACAGTGAAAGGCTCAAGTATTTGAATCCCTCCCATCCATATGAAAACTTGACAGAACTTTGGGTTTGGACCTCAGCCTGGTCCAGTCTCAGATGCAGAATCACCAGACAAAAGTTCTCTCTCTCTCTCTGGTCCAATTTCTCTTCCATTCTGTTTACTCTTTTTTTTTTTTTTTAAGATTTATTTTATTTTCTTTTTTTATTGGAAATGCGGATATACAGAGAGGAGAGACAGAGAGGAAGATCTTCCATTCGATGACTCACTCCCCAAGTGAGCACAATGGTCAATGCTATGCCGATCCGAAGCCGGGAGCCTCTTCTGGATCTCCCACATGGGTGCAGGTTCCCAAAGCTTTGGGCCGTCCTCGACTGCCTTCCTGGGCCACAGGCAGGGAGCTGGATGGGGAGCGGGGCTGCTGGGATTAGAACGGGCGCTCATATGGGATCCCGGGCGTGCAAGGTGAGGACCTTAACCACTGCACCATCACGCCGGGCCTACTCTATCTTTCAAATAAATAAATAAGTAGACAAATAAGTAAATACTAAATCTTTAAAAAAATATATAAAAGGTGGAAGTGAAAGAGTGAAAAAAAATTCTTACACATGTGGTACACAGTTCAAATGAGCTTTCAAAGGTTAACAAATGACTGTCATCTTTGGATGTTTCCCTACCTTCTGTCAAAAACAGTGGCGTAATTACTCAGGTCTGCTATGTGCTGGTTAGACAATAGTAACCGACTTTATCATTAAAAAAGATTATAGTTGTTCGAATTCTATTTTGAGATTCAAAACATCGTTACATGACTGCCTTCATTTTGAAGCTGAATACTAGTAACCAACAAAACAATAACAACAACAACAAAAAACAACTGAAAAGCAAAGGGAATATAGATCAAAATTTCCTTGATTTTGCTAGTTGTTGTGAAGCATATAAGAAAATGTCCCACTTCTTTGGAAATACACATTAAGTAATATGACTAAAGAAGCATAAAGTCTATATATTTTCTCAAATGATCTAGAAAAATATGAAGCACCCCAGCTAACTGCAACCTAAGCAACTGCTTAGGTTGCTTTGTACCCAGGCAAGTATTACACTACTAGGAAAAATGTAGCCGGTAGCTGATGGGTACTCTGGGCCTGATTCATGCCAATCCAAAACCAGGAGCAAGGAGCATCCTCCAGATCTCCCACGTGGGTGCAGGGTTCCAAGACTTTGGGCCATTCTCTGTTGCTTTTCCAAGCCATAAGCAGGGAACAAATGGGAAGCGGAGCAGCTGGGACACAAGCAGCACCCATATAGGATCCTGGAGCTTGCAAGGGCAGAATTAGCCAATTGAGCCAGTGCGCTGGACCCTTCTCCTTTTTCAGGAGCATTATTAGCAGGAGCTTGATTGGAAGAGGAGTAACTGGAACTCAAACAGGTCCCCATATTGATTCTGGCATTTTAGGCAGTAGCTATGTCACAATGCTAGCTCTGCAATACACTCGTGACAGCCAGGTTGGGGATAGAATAGGCTGGGCTAGGTCTTGACTTCTGCTGAACACATGAAAGCTGTGTCTGGGTACAGGCCTGCTACCCCTGGGCTACAACAACCAACAACAAGAACCAGAAATGGGAGGGGGCCCAGTTGAGCAAGGTCACTGTTCTTGCCAGTGCAGGAGGTGGACAAAGTCAACCTGCTCCAAGGACACACCGGTGTGTGCAACTGCCACTGGGAGGAGACTCGAAAGAGGAGCTTGGACAACTCCTTCATTGGGACGCAGTCTCTGCAGGTGAACGCAAGAAGCAAGACAAGGAGCAACCCAGACCATGCCAGGTTGTAGTACTCACTGGCATACACGTAGGTCAAATCTGGGGAAAGACCAGTCTGGGCCAGCACATAAAACCCACTGGCAGATCTGAGAATCAGGGTAGAGAACAGGAGGAGCCAGATCAGGCCACAATGCCAGCCAGTTCACAATAGGATCGGGACAGCAATCAGACTGGGCTGGTATAGGCTGCAGCACCCACCAGTAGGAGTTGGAACAGGAGGCAGACTAGACCTGGCTGCAGACACTGAAGAGAGGCAAGGAGTCATGCCAGCCTGGGCCCAGTGTGGTCCAGGTTCATGAGTGCCAGAGATGGGGAATCTGATAGGGCTAGACTAGCTTGGCTCAGGTCCTGGGGGTCCACCTGCATGGTGGGTGCCAGGTTCCTGAGCCCTGCGGACAGGAGAACCGGTGGGGCTCTGGTTGACTGGCCCAGATCCTGGGGCCTGTGTTTTAGGGTGTTGGGTCCCTGAGGCACAGACTTGGAGGATCTGGCGGGACCTGTGTCGCTGAGCCCGGGTCCTGGAGCCTGCCTGTGAGGTGGGTGTTGGGTTCGTGAGCCCCAGGAGCTGGGGATCTGGCGGGGCTCAGGTCACCTGGCTAGCATCCAGGTGCCAACCTACTAGGTGGGTGTCGGGTTTGGGAGCTCTAGGGATGGGAGATCTGGTAAGGCTTGGGAATTCTGGCCCAGGTCCTTGGACTTGCCTGCAACAACATGCCCTATTTAATGAAAAAGGCGGAGCAGTGGACACAGGCCCTGTCACAAAAGGAGAATATAACAGTTCATTTGGTGCTGTAGCAGAAGAAGAGAACTGTACAACTATCCCAAACAAACAATGACAGCAAAATATCTCGTTGAATGGAGCCAATGGGCATTGGGAGGGTGACATCATCCTCGGATTGGTGAAATCAGCAGCATTTCAGAACTATCCAAACCACTTGGACAGAACCATCGGAATATGTACACACTGAGTCTCTGGGTTGATATGAGGTGGCAGTTCCTCACCCCTGAGTACTGGGACATGTGGAAAATCATGAGTGGTTAACCCCTTTGTCACTCCTGTTCCCCCAAAAACAGTAAGAATAGCAAATTCGGAAGCAATGAGTATACCCAATTTTCCCTAAATCTCAATCCTTCTCACCCTGATCCACCATGTAATCATTATAAAAAATAAAATTTATAGAAAAAATATTCTGCACCAAAATAAACCTACATTTTAATTCTATTTTCCACAAATATTTTGAAGTAGTTTTATATACAATATGGAGAAAAGAAAACAAAAGTGGGAAATGTTAGCAAATGTAGAACATAAATTATTCTTGCATCCTTTCAATAAGCTGGAAATTATATAAAAATAAAATATTACCAAGAAGTTTCTATTGACATATATATAATCATAAAGCAGGTTATTAGGCAAAAACATATGAAAAGGTACTCACATGGAATTGAACATTCCCATTAGAGCGGTAAAACAAAAGCCAATTGCAAACATGGATTTCATTCGAACCTGAAAGGAGAGCACAGATTTTCACTTCACACTTTAGAAAACCACCACTAAAGCATAACCCAGAGTTGGGGGTTTTCCCAGGCTATGACACCTGCGCTCCCCATGAGACTGCCTGCACCTGACCCCGAGCTTTGCTTCTGACTCCAGCTTCTGCCTCATACAGACTCCTGGGAGGCAGCAGTGACAGCCTGTAAAAGTCACATAGAATACCTGGAATGAGTCCCAAGTTCTTAGTCATGTGGACACCTGGGGCAGGAACCAGTGGGTGGAAACTCTGTATCTCCCTCTCTTGCTCTGTTTGCCTCTGCCTTTCAAATAAACAAATTAAATGTATGTATGTTTAAAGGCACATACCTGAAAATCTTGGTTTTTCTTTTTTTGTTGTTGTTCTTTTTTTTTTAATCACTCCTTGCTCGGGTTACGGCCCCGCAACTTGAGCTACCTGTGATACTGGCATACCAGTTTAAGCTGGATACCAGTTCAAGCCCCTACTGCTCTTCTATTCCAGTTCCCAGCTAATCTGTGGGAAAGCGGTGGAAGATGGCACAAGTATGTGGGCCTCTGAAATCCCATGTGGCAGACACAGATAGTTTGGTCTAGTTCCTGCCTTGGCCATTTGAGGAGTGAACAAGTGGATGAAAGATCTCTTTCTTTCTCTAACTGTGCCTTTCAAACAAAAAGATCTTAGAAAAAAAAAGTACTCCATACTAAAAGCTGTTTCAACCTCTAATTCCTCTTTTCCTTCTCATATAACATTGGGATGACAGCATGACTCGACTCTGGCCAATGAGTTGTAAGTTCAAGTACCGGATAGAGTTTTTATTTATTTATTTGAGGCACACACACACACATACACGACTTCCATTTACTGGTTCATTTCCACAGATGCCTGCAATGTCTAAGACTGGGCTGGAGGTGGATTCCAAGTCTCCCACAAGTATGGTGGGAACACAGCTACCTGGACCATGATGCTACTTCTCAGAGTCTGCATTACTCAGAAACCGAAGGCAGAAGCTGCAGCTGAGACTCAACTGTAGGTTCTGTGATCTGGGGCACAGGTGTCTGTTTTAATTGGAAAGGCAAATACACAGAGAGAAGGAGAGACAGAAAGGGAAAGATCTTCCGTCCACTGGTTCATTCCCTAAGTGGTCACAGCGGCCACAGCTAAGCTAATCCGAAGTTAGGAGCCAGTAGCTTCTTCCAGGTCTCCTGCATGAGCGCAGAGTCCCAAGGCTTTGGGCCATTCTCTACTGTTTTCCCAGGGCACAGGCAGGGAGCTGGAAGGGAAGTGGAGCAGCCGGAATATGAACCAGCACCCATATGGGATCCTGGTGAATGCAAAGTAAGGACTTTAGCCACTAAGCTATCGCACTGGGTCCTTAAAGAATTTTTTAAGTATTCAGTTAACTAAATTCATTCTTAATTACATAGGCTATAAGTATATGAATAAACAAAAATTAACAGACATGATTAATAGGTATTATCTCTGGATCAGTGGTACACAGGTAGCTGTAACTTCTTTTTGTGGTTTCCATATTTGCCAAATGTGTCAGCAGAAAAGAACAGCTATTTTGTAAAGTATGTACTTTTGATTTACAATCTTTTCTGAGACGGACATTTGGCATAGTATCTAACAATGTCCAAGTCAGAGTGCCTGTTCTAACTATTTATTTGAGAATCACAGATGCAGAGGATAAGAGAGATTTCAAAAATTTTCTCTTTGCTGATTTACTTCCCAAATGGACATGAGGGCCAGAGCTGGGCCAGGTCAAAACCAAGGGCTTCTTGGTCTCCCAGGTGGGTGCAAGGGCCCACAGACCTTCTTCGTTTGCTTTCCCAGGGACATGAACAGGGAGCTAGACCAGCTGGGACTTGAACCAAATCTCATGTGGGATGCTGGTACTGCAGACAGCAGCTTACCCTTGCTGTGCCTCAGCGCTGGCCCCATCCTGGCTCTATTTTTGATTCTAGCTTCCTGCTAATTCAGACTGTGGAGAGCAGCAGACAATGGCTCAAGCAGCTGGGTTTCTGCCATCCATGGAGTAGACTCAGACTGAATTCCAGGCTCGCCTCAGTCCTGACCAGCCCTAGCTGTTGTGGCCTTTGAGAAGCAGGCCGAAGATTGCTCTGGGTCTTTCATACAAACTTAAAAAAATTTCTTTTAATTATAATCTTTAAAGATAAAAAAGTACACAAAAAGTCTCCCAGGAAGTCAGGACTTGTGCACAGTTCGGTTGTCCTGTGTAAAATATGCAGAGGCAGAAAACTTAGCCAAGCTGAGTAATTCCGCCATCCACAGCTTGGGATGATGAGCTCGAACACAGTCTATTCCTAAATGATAAATGACCAGTAAGTGAGCAGTCACTTCCCTTATGTTTTATGGTACATGTGACAGAACAAAAGGCCTCTGAAAGAATAAAATACAATAATGAGGGTCACTGATAGAGTTTCAATTCCTATATATAAGTAACGCTAGTCACCATAAAACCAAAGATTCAGCATTTACTTGCAGTATATATATAAAACACACACACACACACACACACACACACACAACTTCACTCGAAATTGTAACCTCTCACAGCCTTAAAAAGCTACTGACATGTTTAAGATGCAATCTAAGAGCAGTGGCATACATTTTCACTTCCACTTGGCCAGGAACACCCCTAACATTATTTATAGCCTTCTTACGTGACACGTTTCTGAAAAGGCCAAGTGCAATGCACCTGATGCAAATCAGTCTGTTGCCAAGAACATTCTGTGGTTTACCATAAGTTATACTTAGGACTATTACCATTGATAGATCTCTGTTGTTATTCTTCAGTTTCTCTTCTTGCCTCTCTGAAAAGAATTAACGAAATGGTTAAGACACACAGTGCCAAGCACAAAGCAGCTGCCTGGCACTGCAGATTACAAAAGCACTCTGTCTCAACACTAGTTAAGATAAAGGGAACACCTGGAAAACCACACACTTTATACTAAGAGAAAACTCAAATGCAGAGCACCAAAATGTTTCAATGAAAATACACACAAATTCCCAACAATTAAAAAAAATTAATTCTGAGGTTATATTTCTTACTTCTGTTGCTTAAGATACAGGCTTCTATACAACAATGGGAAGTGCTAGCCAGTTAACTCCTAAGTGTACCAATGACTGCATGTAGATCGCTGACATATTGTTTACTCCTCTATTTTATGCCCTTTTCCATTTCCTTTCAAGAAGTATATAGTCTAAAAATTATAAAGGCAGTTGATAAGATAAATTCAGAATTCAAGTTCTTTCACATTATGTTCTAATCAATATAAAAATTAGCCCTCTTGATTATTTATAAAACTAGGACCTTTGGTTTATAATTAAAAAACAAGTTAATACCTAGAAACTACTAACGTACTCAAACTCATGGAGAAGTGTCACATACACCTTAACGCCCTATTTGCTCCTTTGTTTTTCAACATAAAGGACTCATTGCCGTATCTGTGAGGGACAGGTCCAGCAAGAGGAAAGCAGTGTGCGAAAGATAGCAGGCATTTCTGACAGTGCTAGCACTGGAATCCACGTTTTCCTGCTCCCAGCTAAATGATCTGTCTATATAGCATGCTACTGCTTTCTTTGATCAGGTACAAGTATTTTTAACACCAGGATTAACTTACTCTATACACACTGATATAAAGGTACTTTAAAAAATTCATGGGAAATTAATCTTTGCATTGAAATATTATTACATTTAAAAAATATTTATTTGAAAGGCAAAATTACAGAGAAGAGAGGGAGAAATGCATTTTCCATCTGCTGGTTAACTCCCCAAATGACTGCAACACCTGAAACCAGTAAACAGAAGTTTTTCTCAGTCCCACCTGGGTCCAGAAACCCAAGCCCTTGGGGCACCTTGAGCTCCAGGCCACCTTGGGTTGCTTTCCCAGGCACATTATCAGGAAACTGAATCAGAAGTAGAATAGCTGGCACTAATACCAGTGCCTATATGAAATACCGGCCCTGCAGGTGGTGGCTTTACCCATGGTGCCACAGTGCCAGCCCCACCATATTTACTGAAATCTCTTTTTAGCTGACTAGCAGCTATATGCAATGTACTGTTCTGAGCACTGGGGAATTAATGAATAACAACAACAACAACAAACCAAAAATCTCCACTCATAAAAAAAATTATGGTATAAAAATAGAATAAGAGATAGCTAAGATGGCTGACTAATGAAGGTTGGTATAGGGGAGGGTGCAGAGAGAGACAGAATGTGGCACGGGAGTGAGCAGAGAGGCAAAGAAATACAGGGAGAGGTGTGCGAAATTCCCTGGACATCGCAGAGCCAAGAAGATCCACACAACTCAGAAGAGCAGCCAGAGAAAAAAGGCAGGGAAGTCAGCGACCCGATTGAAACTTGGTGAGTCATGATCGGGGGGAGTGCTGGTGAGAGATTCAGCCGACCTAGAGGAGACAGAGAGAGTTGGAATGGCAGCGACAGTGTGCAGGAGGGCCAGAGGCCCCAGTGGTGGGCGAACCAGACAGGGGCAGCAGCTGAATGGCCCCCCATCCCCAGAACTCACTCCCCGAGAGTGCTACACAGAGGGGGGCCCTCCCCCCTATCCTTTCCACAGGGATGGAAGATGCCTAGATCCTTTCTCACACAATCCAATGTCATCAGAACAATAGCCAGGAACCCTGAGCGGTCCTCAGGAACAGAAGAACAGTAAACTTCCTTTGGGACTCGGGAGGGGGGCTTTCTCTGGCCCTTATTTAGTTCCAACTTTGGATCCCCACCCTCTTGTGCAATGACCATCAGGGTTAGTCTGGTGCGCCCCCCCCCCAAATTAAAATTAGATTAGATAGACAGAGAACAATAAGGAAAGCTTAGAACCAGACAGGAATCGGTCAGCTTGGACTCACATATACCTTACTAGGTAGGACACAAAGATTAGTTACTCCTCAATAAGGTATTGAAGATTTCTCTGCACAGTTCTCCTAAAACTGCTTTGCCCCTCAATTGTTAACATATGCCTAGTTAGAGTTATAAGCCAATTGGGACTATCCTAAAATCTGCCAAGTTCACTATAAGTTGTATAGCAACCAGATGTGTATAAACTAAAATTGAAATGTCAACGAAGTAGTCACAGAATGTGGTTAAGAACTTGCATTTTCCGGGCCCAGCGTGATGGCGCAAGTGGTTAAGGTCCTTGCCTTGCACGCCCAGGATCCCATATGGGTGCCAGTTCTAATCCTGGTGGCCCCGCTTCCCATCCAGCTCCCTGCCTGTGGCCCGGGAAAGCAGTGGAGGACGGCCCAAAGCTTTGGGACCCTGCACCCGTGTGGGAGACCCGGAAGAGGCTCCTGGCTTTGGATCGGCATAGCATCGACCGTTGCGCTCACTTGGGGAGTGAATCATCGGGACAGAAGATCTTCCTCTCTGTCTCTCCTCTCTGTATATCCGCCTTTCCAATGAAAAAAAAATAATAAAAATAAAGAACTTGCATTTTCCAACATACTGGTTATTCAATTCCATTGTCAATTAACTCCATAACGTTGTAAATTGTTGTTGATGTTAAGTTGTGGCTTTTCACTGGGTGGGATGATACTCCGCCAGCTCTACTTTCAGACCAGTGACTGTCTCCCCAAGAAACTGTTGAATTTATCTGGACAATAAGATGCTGGACTCTATGCATGGTACATGCTTGCAATGTAGAAACCATGACTGAATTTGAACTGTGCTACTGCAACAATGTGGAGGAATTCATCATAGGGGGAGGGTATGGGGAGGGGTTGGGGGAATTCCAGAGCCTATGAAACAGTGTCATAAAATGAAATTAAATAAATAAAATCCAAAAGAAATACAATAATAGTGAAACACATTCTAAAACAAAAAATCATACCTTTGGTGTTAAGGACTGGCAAGGGAAAGGAAAGAAGAACAAGCCTTCTCTGGGTAAAAAGGACACAGGAGAGGTGACATGCAGAAGATACGTATGAAACTAAACTATGTACGGTCCATCATGGATTCTAGCAAATCAGTTCTCTAACAGTATAACAAGCCTTTATATTCTCAGATTACTAACCCATTCAATGGTTTTGTTCACAAGGCATAAAAACAGATACCTCCTATCTGCTGCTTTACTATGCCAAATGCCTTCTACAGTGAGAGATAGTCCCGGTCAAAGCCAGGACTCAGCACCTTAATCCAGATATCCCACATGAGTGGCAGGAACCCACATAATGAAGCTATCATTTGCTGGCTCTCAGCATGCTTTGTAGGAAAATAGAATTAAAAGTTAATTTAGGGCCCGGCACAATAGCTTAATGGCTAAAGTTCTTGTCTTGCATGTGCCGGGATCCCATAGGGGTGCCGGGTCATATCCTGGCTGCTCCACTTCCCATCCAGCTCCCTGCTTGTGGCCTGGGAAAGCAGTCGAGGACAGCCCAAAGCCTTGGGACCCTGTGCCTGCGTGGGAGACCCGGAGGAGGCTCCTGGCTTCAGATTGGCACAGCTCGGGCTGTTGCAGCCACTTGGGGAGTGAACTAGTGGACGGGAGATCTTTCTTCTCTGTGAATCTGACTTTACAATAAAAATAAATAAATCTTTCAAAGAAAGAAAGAAATAGTTTAAAAAGAAGGTTAAGTTAAAAAAATTTTTGTTCTTGATGTTGTTTACATAGATAGTTGACAAGGATGGACACCCAAGAAGACTACGAATCAGGATGGAGAAGGTCAAGGTATGGGGGAGGGGGAGTGGGACAAATGCTTCCAATTTTCCTTTTCTCCTGTATCTGAGGAGGGCGGGAAGGAGAGAGCGAGCCAGTATCCAGAGATGGGGGAATGTTCACTTATAAATCCTGATGTGGAGAAGAATGTTTGGAGAGATTTGCTTGAATGATCCTGATAGTTCTGAGACATCACTGGTTTCGTTGCTTCAAGGCTGAGAAAATCCTTCCAAGCTCCATTGACTGACAGAGTCACCCCAGTGCATCCACTCAGCCAGACACTCGCTGCCAAAGCTCAGTCAAGAGAATTGTTCAACCTGTTCTGCTCCCTGTCTTCTGACATAGCACTCAATAGCCTCTGCAGGCCTCAATGGGCTGGCCATCTTGTTCTCCAGATGCCCTGGGCATGTCGTGCACTGCACAGGCATCAGCAAATGAGGAGGCCTGGGCCCAATACAAGTATGTGATCCAAGGTCGGACCACAAATCTTATAATCTTCCTGTCACCAGAATTTTGAGTCCAGTAATCCAGTTGGAGAGTTTCCCAAGAAACACCACCTAGGGTGACCCAAGACCTGACTCTTGCATGTGCCAAGACAGAGCAGGGTTGGGCTCAGTCCATCACCCACATCAGACTATGCACACACTGCTGATTGTAGCTGCCTGATTAGGTCTGTCCCTAGCTCCATGTCCTATGCAAAGCAATGGGTACTATGGTTCAGCCCAACCCAGCCTGCCACAGACCTGGTCCTTATGCACATTAGTGAGAACTGCAGCCTAATTGGGGCAACCCCCATTAGCCCCACCAGACCCACCTCTGGCCCCAGTTCCTGCACATACTTGTATGCAACAGCAGACTACTCCAATCCGTGCGCATTCCAATTGGGCTCCTGTATATACCTATGGGTGTTGTAGCTTAGCTCAGCCTACCTACCCCATAACCCAGTCCACATGTATGACAATGGGTGCCACTGCCTTGTCCAGCCTGGTGTGTCCCCCACCCCTGGCTCTCATCCACACAAACAGGAGCTGAAGCCCAACAGAGGAGTGCATAGAGTTTATCCCCTAGACCCACTTTCCCAGATCTTGCACTTTCCGCGAGTACCACAGTCCTATCTGACACAACTTGCAACCTTCCC